TCCCAAGTGTTTTAAGATGCTTTGAAAAACAAGGGCGCTAGACTCGGTTACTCTTCCTCTCGATGAACCGTATCTTCCACCCAGGGGTGGCTCTATGTTTTTTGCCGCCCCAAGCACGGCAGTCAGGCGGCTTTTGGCAGCACGCCTGCGGGCGGTCCGCTTGTCATGCAGATTCGGCGGCATGCCTGCGAGAGGTCCTCCGGTCCCGCGCCTTCAGCGTCCCCACCGCCGAAGCCGCGGGACCAGTGGACCTCCCGCAGGCATGCCGCCAAAGGCTGCCTCACTGCCGCCATCACAGCGACCGGCAGGCCGCCCCCCGCGGCTTGCCGCCCCAGGCACGCGCTTGCTTCGCTGGTGCCTGGAGCCGCCCCTGCTTCTACCATGAGCAGTCTTACTGAAATCAACAGGGTTCAGTGCTATTCAGTGTGCACCAGGGTATCCCAATGGGATCCAAAGAGCATTAATCTATCTGAGTAGAAATCCCTTCCTTCTCAAAGTGAATCAGGATTCAGTTTCTGGATATTGCAGGTACCATAATCCAACCAGTTCTCTAGCTGTCCACAGAGTCTCCAAGGAGACATAAGGGCTGAATTTATGCTAAAGTTTTAAAAAAATTAAAAATAGGGGGAAAAAACCCTTTCAAATCCTCCCCAGCCTCCTCTATGCAACATAAAGCAGGAAAAGGACACAATTCCCCTCCCCGCTTTGCTAGCCCCCGTTAAAGAAGGTGAAAAAGGCTGTTCGCTGGTTATAGCTGTCCTGGGTGTAGAGTGTTTGGTGACACTGCGCCATCTTTCGTCTTCTAGTTACTACCGGCAGAAGTTCCTGGCGTCCACTGGCAGGAGGGCCTGGATAGATGCTGGCAGCTTAATGGACCATGGGAAGGGGCTCCACACGCTCCGAAAAGCCCCAACTCCTCAGAGAGGCAGAGTCACTCCTATGTCTGCCTTTGCGGGTGCTGCCCGCATCTCAGTGATGAATGACAAAGAGCTGGAAGCCTACGTGGAAACCCTCAGGGGTAAGAACTGCACGTGGCAGTTGTGTGTCTGAGTGGGAATTTCAGTGGAGGTGCCAAAGAGGCAGAAGGCCCATTTGGGGGTCACAGCTATTCACTACAGCATCCTGTGTCCATTGCCAGTAAGGAGAAGTCCTCTCTCCCTACCAGACTTTTGGGCTTTGGATCAGGGCCGAGGTTAGCAAATCTTTTTTGCTACCTGCACCCACCCACTGCTTGGACTCCTCAAAGACATGAGTGATAGGAGGAAGCATAATCTTGTAGTGAAAGTGCAAGACGCCTGGGTTCTCTTCCCAGCTGTGCCACAGACTCATTGGGTGATCTTGGGCAAATCAGATTTATAGAAGTAGCCACTGATTTGGGATGCCTCCAAGCCAGGACTAGAACCCAGATTTGCCAGTTCCAGATCACTTATTTGAGTAATCAAATAGGAAGGATGGTACTCTTCCAGGCTCCACCCACAAAATAAGCTCCACCCCTGTGAATCACCAGACTGACACCTTTCAAATGATCAAAATATGATCATCTGTTCTCTGAGCTGCATTGGGCACCTTGAACTTAGTTCTTCCCTCAGTGGGACTTGAATATACCTCTGGGCTCTGATAGGCTCTTTAGATTTGCTTCTTTCTTGATTGGTTAAAAAAAAAAGGAGTCATCTCTCCCAGATGCCACCCATTGATGGCACCAAAATGGGAAGTCACTCACAGTAAATTGTGTAGATCTCCTTTCTTACATGAGGAATGAAATAGTTGACACATATATTATCAGCACTGTCACCATGTAGAATAAATATAAAATGGGAGAATTAAAGTTAGCTTAAGGTTGGTTAAAGAAATATGGGTTGTAAAGAAAGGCCTTGAAAGTAAAGAGTTATAAGGCCCGATGGAATGAAGTAGGGAGGGCGTCTGGTTCAAAGAATAACTAATGAGATAAGGGGAAGTTTCTGAAAAGGCTTCTGACCAGTACGAGTGACTGGTTTTAAATAAGACAAAAAGAATCTGTTTTTAAAAGAGCCAACATGGCCCTTCCCACCCCACATACCAGTGTTATCTCAAAAAATAGGGCCTATGTTAACCCAGGTACAAAGGAAAAACTGTGTCAGCAAGAAGGATGGGAAAAGATAAGGAGGAAAGGCCTTGGGGAGAAAGGAGGTTGTAATCTTATCTGGATTAAGACTGGAAATAAGGGTGAACTGTCTCCAGTTGGCTTTTACCTGAAGTCAGTAATTGGCAATGACATCACTCGTTTTTTAAAGTGTATAAAAAAGGTAAACTCTTCAAGGGTTCATTGCTAATACCTGCCTGACCACATTGGAGCAAACCAAGATGGGTCTAAGCACCCTTGGGTGTTAGCCCATTTGTAAGTATCTTGATCAAATGTTTATAAATGTTTTGTTACATTCGGATGTAGTCAATTGCTTATTATTTAGGCTTTGTAGACGTGTTTAGAGCAATTGTATAAGTACCTTTTGGCCTCTGGATTTAATAAAGCAATTTATGATTAAATTAGTGTCATGATAATATCCTGCGTAAATAATAATTCCAACACACAAAGGAACCTTAAATAACTGTTTAGTTCTTCTTGGTGGCTGCTCGGTGTATAACAGCTCATGGGCTACCAAGGAGTCCATCTCTAGTTCTTAGGACCTATGGCTAAGACTTTCAAAGGTGGCCTCTAATTTTGGATGTCTCCGTTTATGGTTTCCCAACTTTAGACACTTGTGGGTTGATTATTCTGAGGTGCTGAGCACCCACAACTCTTTGCCTACAGCTGGAATAGTGGGGGCTCAACACTTCTGAAAATTAGGTACTAGATCTGTAAAGTTGGGCACCCAAAATCAGAGGCTACTGGCCCATATTTTCCATGTGTTTTACGGAAAGCAAGGTACAAAAAAAGGAGGAAAAGTGAATAGGGGAGATCTCAGAATGTGTAGTCCTGCCTTGTTGGATTGGTCATAGAATGGGAGAGCCAAGGGCTAGAAAACAGATGGTGGGTACTGTGTCCAATTAGTGATATCCATTTTTTTCTTTTCTTTTCCCCTTTGCTAGCAAGCAGTGTCCCCTCCGACAGTCCTTATGCTCAGGTACCCATCTTCCCATTGCTTCCCAACCGGGATGGAATGACAATACCGAAGCCAAAAAAAGACTTGCAGAAGCTGGAGATGCAGAGAAGGAAAGAGCCTATATCGTCGTTTGAAAACCATTTTTTCCATAAAAGAAACTGGCTGCGCGAGGCAAGATAAGGAAACAGTTAATCTATGTAATAACAGATGACACACAAGGGCGGGTCTGAATTGTTGTGCTGTAGATTCTTCCCCATTGAAATGTGTGGGGTTAGCACACATCCCTTCAACGCTTACATTCCCTTGGACTCAATGGGTCAAATTCAGTGATGTCAATGGGGTGTGACTCTGCGTAAGCCTGGAGTCGTCTAAGGTGATGTAATACACACATTGAGGGTGACGGAAGGAAGTGTAAATTACACAAACTTAACTTCTTTTTAGATCTTTTTAGACTCATCTCTGAAAATTGTTCCCAGAAATGTTCTTGAAATGAATCTATGAATGCTGCATCGTTTAACCTGCAGTTGGTGCAGCTGGCATACTGTGGCTGTATATATGTTCGAGATTACATAAAGTGGGGAATTCTGGTGGTTTGTATACCTGGCATTCACCAGAGGTAAAATGGATAGAATAGCTCTCCCCTTTGCAGCCCAGAAAGCCCAATACCTCTGGGTGACTATTCCAGGTAAGACAGGGATACACTTTTACAGGGAAGCAAATAGCCTTGATTTCTCTTAAATATATTAGGCTGGCTGAAAAGGGTGTGGGTTTGATTCCTGTCCTAAAAGCTTTGAGGCAGGAGATTCTGGCTGAATTCCCCCATGTTCCCTGCCACAGATTTAAAGAATATCTGATAACATGATAGCCTGATGGATTGTCTTGGTGGGATGATTAAAGGAATGAACCCTACCATGAATGCAGCAGAAGAGACCAGCTGTCCGTCCCACAAAACAGCCTTGGTCTCTCACTTTCCAATCTCAAGATATGACCAAGTGACCCAGACCACACAAGACACTTAATGAGGATGTCTGCTTTCTCTGTTGTCCTCCACAACACACACCCTGAGATGTGTGGACACCTGATGGGAAATCCTGGCTGTGCGTGACAACACTGAAAGATCTTTTCTGAGCAGCAGGCTGTGTTTCCTCCTCCTGGGGACAGTCCTGGAGCAGAACAGTACTGAAAGTAGATAGGCCAAACCCTGCTCTTGTATATTGCAGTGTAAATCTAGACTAGTAACTTCATTGGCTTCAATGGAGTGAGTCTGGATTTACACCGGTGTGAACTGAGAGCAGAATTTTGCCTTGTACATATACTCTGGTAGTCTTCCATTGCTGAGCTAGGGCTAATCAGATCTCACGCTTCAGCCTGACTGCTGCAGGAAGGGATTTCCCCAAATGTGCGACACTAAACAACTGGCCAGGTGCATTAGAGAGGGGTTTGTTGTCCCTGAAAGCAGTAGGTCACAGCCACTGCCTGAGGCAAGAAGCCTGTCTTGATGGACCATTGGTAAAGCCTCTCTTTCTGTCTTTTTCAATCAGGCAACTGCGTTCAAACCTCCTGATTACTTCAGAGACCGGAAAACCTCCCTTAGTCTCGGCCCTCACTTGATGGAGAGGCGACACCGTTTGACTATAGAAGACCTGCGTGAGATACGACTAGATGTGAGTACAAAATCTACCACCCCTTCCAAAGAATTCCTCCCTCCTTTGTCTCTGGTAGTTTAGGAGATAACCAGTTTGACACTCCATCAGATCCTCGCCAATCAAACACACTCTTCTTCCAAGGACTGGCTGGCTCACGGCATTAGGAATGGGGTATGGCGGTGTTTCCCAAACTTGGGATGCCGCTTGTGTAGGGAAAGCCCCTGGCAGGCTGGGCCAGTTTGTTTACCTGCCCCGTCCACAGGTCCGGCCGATCGTGGCTCCCATTGGCCGTGGTTCGCTGCTCCAGGCCAATGGGAGCTGCTGGAAGTGGCGGCCAGTATGTCCTTCAGCCCATGCCGCTT